ACTGCTTAGATGGCTTAAGAGACTGTTCAACCATTACACCAAGATTCTTATCATTCATGACACTGTTAAAGTTATTCCCATCCAAATTATACTTACAATTCAAATTATGATAACCTATATGCATTATCTTGCATTTATTATAATTAAAACCCATTTGCTATTTATTTACCCAACTCACTAAATGATATAAATCCTTTTATAAATCGGCAGCATCTTCTTCACAGCTAGCAAAACCAAATACTTTAATATCATCTACAAATCTGAGTAATTTATTGACCATTCCTTCATTTATGTCATTGAAATAAACCAATAAGAGCAAATATCCTAAGACTGAGCCTTGAGGTACCTCATTTGTAACATTAATTCAGTTTGACTAAACTCCATTTATAACAACCCTCTGCTTTCTTCCATCCAGCAACTCTTATCCAATTAGCTAACTCACTAACTTACTATACATTTTTTTACAAGCCCTTTATGTGGCACCTTGTCAAATGCTTTCTGAAAATCCAGATACACCAACTCTACACCCTTACCCTCATCTACATAAACAGTAACCTTTTCAAAGAATGTTAAAGATTTGTGAGGCAAAATTTTCCCTTAATGAAACTATGTTGACTATCCAATAAAATTCTAAAATTTGTTAAATGACTTTGCAAAGCATCTTTTATCAGACTTTCCAAAACTTTTCCCACAACTGATGTGAGACTAATAGACCTATAATTACTGGGACAATTTTTATCACCTCCCTTGAAAAAGAGGAATAACATTAGCTAACTTCCAATTCTCTCGTACCTGCCCACTATTCAAGGACTTACAAAAAATAGTAGCAAGTGGCTGACATATCCAATCCTTAACCTCTTTCAAAACCCTTGGGGAAATATTATCTGGCCCGGAAGCCTTATCATTCTTTTAACTTCCCACTTTTTTCTTAAGTTCAGAATTATTTTGTTCAATTTTGCTTCCATCTATCAAGATGTGGAATACTGCTTGAATCTTCATTAGTAAAAACTGAAGAAAAAGCAGAATTTAATAACCCAGCCATCTATAATCACCAGATACGAGTCTTTCTTTATCATCCCTCAAGGATCCTACATCCCATTCTGTTTACCTTTAATGTATTTAAAGAAACCCTTACCATTAATTTATATATTTTCAGCCAACCTTTTCTCATACATCTTTGTTGATGTCCTAAGTTCCTGTTTGACCATTTTTCTCTAATCTCCTAATCTCTCTAATCATACCAGTCAATTTAAATTTATTAAATTCATGATGTTTTACTTTAATTTTATATATTATACTCTTTGTGAGCCAACCTGGTTTTTTTACTTGCAGCTACCCTTTTCTTTCTATAAGGAATATGTTTATCTTGATAATTTATAATTTTCCACATCTGATCAGTGTCTCCAAATAACTCAGCTGCCCAATTGACAACAGATAATTCTTGTCACGTCTCTTCAAAATTTGTTTTCTTGAAATTTGTAACAAAATATCATTATTCCTTATTTCCATATACAGCAAAACATTGAACCTAATAGAGCAATGATCACTTATACCCAGATGTTCCCCAGTTTCCACCCTCTCAATCATTTCTATATTTGATGTTAACAATAAATCTAAAACAGCATCATTTCTAATAGGTTCCTTGACCATTGCTTAAATAGGAAACCTAGTACTTACCAAAAATTAGTTTTTTAGGTCTAAGTAAGGCCCAATGCTTAAACAAAAAGTAAACTACACATGTTGTGCTCATTTTCATTCCCAACCAAAGAAGAATTACAACAGATCGTTTTCCAGCAGCCCAGTTGATAATAGCCATGTCATCTTCCAACCTGAAAAGAAAATCAATAGAATACAGAATAATAACATCTATTATGACAAATATTCTTCACTTTAGAAAAAATCAAACTTTACTTCATAATTACTAATATTTCCAATATAAAATAAACGTCCTTATATGTGTAGCTATTGTCTAGAACAGGATAGTATGTGGAAAATAAGACTAACCTCTGTGTGTCAACTGTGTAGAGTAGGACTGTGTTGAAATAGAGCAGAAGCATCATAGCAACACAGATGTTATAAGCTGATGACAAATGTGTAACTTTCCACAGGTCTCTGGATATATTGGAAACATTTTATTATTATTAACAACTGATACACTTTCCACTCATAGTTTTTTTACTTACTCTAAGACTAATAATATCTACCATTGGTTTCTCTACTAATGCTATTTATGAAATGAAATAAATTGCCAAATTTTTCATAATTTTTAATATACATCATTCTTATACAAGTGTTTGATAC